GATCTTTTCACAAAGATCAGCCAGTTGGGATATGGCTCTTTCTTTATTCATCAGGCACATTGCCGTGGAACGCCGTAAAGATTAACAATGCCTCGCATCAAAGGCGGCCTTCAAAGGAGGTGTGTTTTACAGTTTGGTGGATGTGATGTGATGTAGATTAGAAAAGGATGATGAGAGGGAAGAAATCAAGACCTTAAACCTCTCCGGGGGCTGAGCACCTTTCCGCTGTCACTCTGTTCTCGCCAAATTTAATTTTCTCAGACCTTCCTTGCAGCATCTATTACATTTTGATAAAATGAAAAATAAAAAAGGAAAGGAATGGGAGAATCATTCTTGGACTGATCCAACTGCGAGAAGCTGTCATTATTTTCGATTTATTTGAAACACGGAGAGATCAGCGAGATGCTTCAGCAGGAATCAGAGGCGCGCCTCATGTTCCAGGCGGTCACGTCTCCACATTTCATATTTCAGCATCTGAAAGAGCCGAGGCAGAACTAATCAAATGTTGGAAAAGACGTGCCCATCGGTGCAGAGAAGTGATGCAACGGTCGGGTTAAGGAGACATGCTCTCTGCTCCGGCATCATTAAAGCACCACGCAACCACAAGCTTCCTCCCACGACTCAAAGGGACCGCTTGGTGGTGGAAATTATGCTTCCTGTTCTCACTTCAGGGGAAAACAAACTCATTAGAGGCCTTGTTGTGATGCAACTTGAAGACAAGTTAAACGGTGGTCACAGTTTAAGAAACTTTATTACTTTTGTCTGGAAAAGCAGCAAGCAGGAACACTGAGTTGCATTAGACAGAAGAACAGAAAACCAGTGGACATGCTCCAACATGCTAACTTCAGTTACAGTTCTCAACATTTCTTTATCGCAAAGGTTTTATGTCAAAGCATGTGCACCTCAGGTGTCAAACTCAAGGCCTGTGGGCCAAATCCGGCACGCCACAGCTTTTTGTGTGGCCCTCTAAATTCGAGACTAGACACTAAGTGAGCTTAAATATTATGCTTTCAGTCAAATCAATGCAGTGTTTATCTGTTTACTGCCAAATTATATCAATCTGTTGGGAGTTTATTGCAGTTTTTTCTCAAAAATTGTCAAAACTTTCTTACTTGTACTAAACAGCTGCCTCAGCTTTAATTGATGTCAAATTGCAGTCCATGAGCTAAACAGAAAAAATAAAAAGTCGCATTTACCGTCATAAATACGCGTAAATATTGCAAATATTGATTTTCATAGCAAAAAGAATCACAAAATCCAGGTGGGACTGAAAAGATGTTCAATAATATTATTTAATTTTAATAATTCATTGATATTTTAGCAGTTTGTGAACAGGTTTTATCAACACATTCTGGAACAACCGACCCTTTAAGAGCATTCACAATCTAGATTTGGCCCAAAATGAAAATGAGTTTGACACCGTTGATGTACAGAAATTGATTTAAAAAAAGTGAAGAATGTTTCTGCAAAATAAAACATTTCTCCCGTAATCAGGGTTATAATTTTTATTTGTGTAATTCACGTAGTTTTAATTGTGTTTGCTAGTTTGTATTAGTTATTATTAATTAAGTGCAGTTTAGCTTTTATTAAAACTTTATAAAAACTAACTAAAATTAAAACTAAAGTAGACTAAAGTAGCAGATTTAATTTTTTCATACTTTGGTTTTATTTTTCGGTGCTGAAAACAAACAGGTTAAAATGATTGTGTTGTGATTATATTTATATCATTTAGGTAATGATTACAACATTTCAACAAAAAATGTATTAAATTATTATTGGACAACCAAATGAGGTTTTCTCTCAGCTTTTGGTGTCACCATTTTGCAGACTAGCATAAAAACCGAATATGGACGACCGTAATTTCCAGCAGTGTAATAAAGCGATTCATAAGCACAAAATCAAAGGATATTTTATCTATCTATAATTTAAATATGTTTTAGTTTCATAAACACACAATATAGTTCCAGTTAGTAATAGTTTCCCTTTGAATTACTGTTTTTATTTATTTCAGTTTTCATTATTTTGTTAGTTTGTTAGTTAAATATGATAACCTTTCTCCTCATAAGCGAGTACATTTTGTCACATTGCAACCGCACACTTTTATTTTATTGTTAATTAATGGAAGTAGCAGAGAGCTGGTAAGGCTATGGAATAGAAAGCAGTCATGGTTGAGACTAGAAAGGACCCAAATGTAGAGAAAACTGTGGCTAAACAGAGTGCTTTAATAAAATAAGAGGAAGTTACAGGGAAAACTGCAGGGACAAAAGGTCATCGATTGTGGATAGTAAACGAAAGAACCGAGTGATGAATAATGAAAAACCAGGAACCTAAATACTGAGGCAGGGTGGAAAATCACAAAGGAACCAGATGAACTAATCAGAGGAAAAAGCAGGGAAATAAAGGAGGAGACTAATTAACGCAGAATGAGCTGAGATAAGACTTAATGATCCACAAACTGAAAAGCAAAAGGCCTGAAAATAATCTAAGATAAATCTAGATCCCTGTCTTTAACATTATTGTTTTGCACCCTACATAACTTTTGACAAATGTTGATTTTTATCTTCTTACTTTTCCATAAATATGTGCTTTGAGGAGTGTATAATCAAACAAACTCTAAATTTCGGATATTTCTTCTTCTTGGTAGGTTTACAAAGCGTAATATTGAGAAAATTCACTGAACAGATGTTCTTGAGAATTGGCAATTTGTTGAATTTTGAAGGCAATAGGTTACACTAAATTTTATTTAGATGTGTCAAACTAAAGGAGGATGAAAACAAATGTAAAGCTAAGATATTTTATTGGTGAAATAATTTTTATTCTCTACTCTTAGTTGGTCTATGTGACATACAAACCCAATAAAACGGAATAAGTTTAGTGTGGATGTAAGCAAAGTCAGTGGATAAAATCCAGTCAGAAAAAATAAGAAAACAGAAAGGACCTGCAATTTATATTAGATGTAATTAAGTTCACAGTGTAATTTTAGAGACTGTTTTCAAACACTGGGAATTAAGAACGTCTTTCAGCAGCTACACAGCACCAGGTGACAATGGGTGTTTTTGATTTTGGGTCATTTTGATGGTTAAAATGTTGGATTCAGTGTTTTAAACCAGCAGTGAACAAACAGCAGCGCTCAAGCAGGAGGGAATGCTCAGCAGCACCATAAGAGATAAAAGTTTTATCTCTTTGCACGTACAAAGAGTGAAAACAGAAACTATATTGTTAAAATGTAAGTGAGAAATAAGGAAATACTAAAAATGATCTAAAGAAGTATATGTTTTAATGATAACCCTATTAAAAATTAAACCACGTCCATGTTGACCAAATTTTTAAAAAGGAAGAGATCGCCATGCCTGGTTTGGATTTCTTTTTAGAAACTTTGCAACCCAGGTTAATTATCATCGGGACTTTAGGGATTTTCTTTGTTATAGAGGTGAAGAAAATCATCTGCATTTCCAAACACGCTCACAATCTGCAGCACGTAAAATATAACCTTAATTCTGCTTTGTACAACTCCACACTATGCTGGAAAGTATCTGCACTTTAGTTCTGGCTCCAGTAGTTATCCTGGTAAAACATCTGTGTGGGCAGATGTTAATAATATATCTAATTAATACCGCTTCAGTTTTAGGGGCGGCACATAAATTACACTGCCAAGGTGATGACTTAAGCATTCTAGTCTATGATCCGAGTTTAACCACCGTAATGTTTCTCAGTGACATTTCACAGACTGGTTGGAGAGTTTTAACAGTCAGAACCTCATCATTCATCACAGACCTCCATTTTAAAGTAAACAAACGCCGTGGTCGGCCTTTGATGAAACATTTCCACGAGAGAAAACAACGGAAATACTGCAGCACGATTAGGCGGGGTCCACTAAACATGTTTGCAACAAAGTCCAATGGAATAACTCTGAGATAACAGGAATTTGGTTAGGATGTTCAGGAAAAGCCCAGGAATCACCCAGGATCCAAAAGCAGCTGGAACAAGAGAGTGTTTTATACCACCAAGCACTGAGAGTGTAAACAGAAATAAGATGGTAAAAGCAGAAATGGCAGCTCCATTAAAGCAAAGTTTAATGATTAAAGGAGAAAAAAATTATGTTTCAAAGAGGTGATGGTGAGACTCTCAAACCCAAAATCACTGGACCAAGTAGCAAGGCGGTGCTAGCATGATGCTGTAGGCTGTTTTAGTGTGTTGCAAAGTGGGTGCAATGATAATTCAATAACTTCCTCCAGATTTTTCAGTTTCACTTCAAACCAACAGCAAAAAAAAAAAAAAAAAAAAACATTTAACTTCTTGACCATCATCCATTATTTAAAGGCCAGGTTCCGAAAACAACCAGTTTAAACGACAAGTTGATCAAACATTCAGGCACGATTATGTCAAATGTTTGATTAATACAAAAAGCAAATATTTAAAGGACATGAATCCAAATTTCACTCATTTTATATTCCAACTTATTTGGTCACCATATATACCAAAATTCTATTCTCACTGCTCAATTATTATTATTAGCTGCGTAATGACGTCACCCTTTAAAAACGATGGCTTGAAAAGATTATAACCATTAACATTAAAATGGCATTTATGACCGCAACCAGGGGTTGAAAACTTCTCACCATCTACTCAGAGTGAAATAATTCCTTGCAACCCATTTTGTATTTTATGCTTTCTAATGGTCCAGGACCTGAATAGCATCTATGAACAGAAAAAATATGAAAGTTTAAACCTTGTGATGTTTCATCTTTTCTGTTTTCTGGCCTCTACTGACCAGTCTCATTTGCTTGGGCTTTGGTTGGTTCTGAACATTGTGTGAAAAGCTAAAGAGGTAGAACAAAGAGGCTAACATGTAATGTGTGTGGAAAAAAATAAAAAAATAAAAAAAACGTTGGCTCTAATATTTGCAATCCAGCTTCCAAATATTTACTGGCAGCTCCTGACGGCCCTGATGCCGAGGGCTTACAGCCTTACAATAAACCCACTGGAGGAGAGAAACTCACCACTTTGAAGTGCTCCGGTCTGCACTCTGTGCCGTGGAAGTGGCAGGACAGCAGCATGTCGTTGAGGTTGTGGCCGGTGCGGTCGTAGAATTCCCGCATGTTGAAAGGTCTCGGCTTGAAGTTCTGGAAGTCGGTTTTGAGCTTCAGGCTCTCCAGAACACTCTCCTCCACCAGGTGTATGTCCCTGATCTCATACCTGGAGAAAGAGAGAGAGAGAAACAGAGAGGAAAAAGAGACATACTTATGGGGGAATTTTTCTGCCATAATCCAAGAGCACACATTTTCAGTTTGAAAGCAGGGTTTCATGTCTTTCTTCTCAAAGCTTGTAATGCTTTTACTAAACTAAAAACGTCTCTTCACGCCCAGACATAGCCTGCGTTCACACTGCAGCCTGACGTGACCCAATTCCGATTTTTTTTTTTTTTTACCGTGGCCGTTCAGGCTTCATGCGACCTGTGTGTGTTCTGCAGTGTGAACGGGCAAACGAGCTGAAAGGGTCCCGCATGCGCTGTAGAGGGCGCAATAACGTCAGCGTTCTCAGTGTTCTGCCAACCGCCATAAAAAGAAGAAGAGTTCTGTGTTTGCGGAAGTAAACATGGATGCTAACGGTGGAGCTTAGCTTACACATATGAAGTTGTTGTCCGACCGGAGCAGCATATTAACAACTTAATCCTCATTATAGTCCGTCGTGGTTGTTGTTTTTCTTCCCTCTTGCGCTTATCAGGACGCAATGGCCTCAGCGTTCTGCCCCATTTTACACTAAGCTTGCGCTAGCAGTGTGCTACTGATCGCTAACAGCTACTGACCTTATTAGGCAGGAGTTTGTTCACCCAATCAACTCCCTACGTCCAGTGGATGACGCAGGTTGTTACAATGGATAGCAACCACATAGGTACACCCATAGACATAATATAAGGTTTATAAGGTTTCTCTTATATTATGTCTATGGGTATACCCGCTACAGGGAAACAAACGCACCCAGTAGAACACTTTCATTCTATTGGCTGAGAGGTTGCCAGGCGACGGTGTATTTTGTTCGAGAAGCAAGAAGAGAGAAAGACATGAAGTCCTGCTTTCAAAATAAAAATGCAAGCAACAGTATTAAAAGTTTTGAGTACAAAAGACATGAAATCCCGCTTTCAGACTGAAAATGTGTGCAGAACTGAAAATATGTGCTCTTATGGCAGAAAAATTCCCCCATAGATATTCACTTTTATTTTACATGCATATTTAATGCCATTTAATTTAGCATGGGGTGATGAGTCTGCAGAATCCTGAAATAGAACAGTCACCTGCTTCTGAACAAAAAGTCAACCTCAGTTTCATTTTTCACACCGTCCAGAAAGGTTTCTAAGTTTTATCAGTAAACTTTTTCTCTGCTCAGCTGGAGCTTAAAATAATATTCCTGAATAAATCAAAAAGGACAGAAAACTGACTATAAAGCTCAACATGATGGTTTTTCTGTGGCATCTCGCTGCCTCTCAAATGGACGGGCTTTGCCAGAGTGGAACAGTTTATTGAACGTTTCATAATAAAGTTCAGACATAGACCCATAAACCCAGCCATCCAATCACTGACAATGCAGCAGCTCTGGGCTATACACAGTTACTCAGCTGAAGCCTCACCTATCTGGACCCTCAAGAAAGATGTGTTTGGGTTTGACTGGTGGCTCCTAAATTTTGTCTGACTGGGTTGCTTTAGCCAGGAGACATTTAGTTAAACTTTAATGGTTCAGCAGAATAACATGCTCAGAACTGAGTCTGGGTGAGTTATTAAAATCTGGAGTACGGTAAAGGGATTTTTTTTTTTTTTTTTTTTTTTGGAAGTGATGAAATCAGCAGTAAATATCAGTGCAGCTGGAGGCTCAGACCATCAGACAAACAAACACCCTGGAGTCCATTTCGCTGAGCGTCTGGCTGCGCTCCAAACGCTAATTAAAGGCTAACAAATCGAGACGAACAGATTTAAAACATCTTGTGAATCTAATCCGATGGTTTTTAGCAAGCAGGAGGAGCAAAGTGAAGGAATCAAATGTGTCGAGAGAACTTGGAAACAGCAGACTCAAAACGAAAACAAAAAAAAAATCTTAACGTCTCTCTGACATATCGGCTCCTTTTATTGACAACTAACTAAATCACATCTTCAGAAGCAGAGCTTTGAGCCACTCGTGAGTTTTACTGAGCATGAACCCAAAACAAGCAGTTGCCAAGCAAGAGCTAGCAGCCAAGTGTCTAATTACTAATGAACTCTTTGAATTTGGGCCTCATCAAATTAAAGCTGATTCTTGGCACTGTAACACAGAGTCCACTGTGTTAATCCCAATTGAAAGCGCTGCAGCACAGAGCCGGGGGAAGAAATGATGTGCAACTGTGTGTGTACTTTATTCTGGACTAAAACCGGCTCTTCAGCATAGTTGGTCCACTGTGCTCAGCAGCTAGAAGCTGGATTTTTAGAGCAATAATGATTGGATGATTTCAGATTATTCCAAAGTAACAAATATTTTTGTTGGAAACATCTACAGTGCCAGCCTTGTAAAAAAGAGGAGTTATGTATATGTTTTTTATTGGTATAGCTTAATCTCACAGCAAGAGTTTTGGAGTACATTTATTCAATGTCTCATATTTATAAATAAATGTTTGTAACAAATTATTGTTACAACCTTATACAACCTCGTTTGGCAATAATACAGCACTTAGACTTAAGTGATTTATAAACTAACATTAGTATTTTAAAGTCTGTTCTCTGAGTAACAGTGAGCCAGGAAGGACTTTAAAACTGAGGTGATTTGATCTATTTTCCTAGTTTTAGTGAGAACATGAGCAGCAGCGTTCTGGATCAGCTGCAGCTGCCTGATTGACTTTTTAGTCAGACCGGTGAGGACACTGCTGCAGTAATCAACACGACTAAAGATAAACACATTGCTGAGTTTCTCCGGATCATTAGTCCTTTTAATCCTGAAAATGTTCTTCAGGCGACAGAAGGCCGGCTTTGTACCTGTCTTTATGTGTCTCTGAAGGTTCAGATCAGTTTCTTTAGGTCCAAAAATAATTACTTCAGTTTTGTTTCTATTGACCTGAAGAAAGTTATGGTACGTCAAACTTATTAACTGCTATTGGTATTTATTGTTGTATGTTTATTATTATTACTTTATTTATTTAATATTTATCATTTATTTACTTATTTTAATTATTTTTGTGTGCTATGCTGGGTCAAACAAAATCTTCCCCTCAGGGGATCAATAAAGTCTTATCTTATCTTATCTTATCTTATCTTATCTTATCTTATCTTATCTTATCTTATCTTATCTTATCTTATCTTATCTTATCTTATCTTATCTTATCTTATCTTATGTCCATGCATTGTGAACCACTATGAACCCATGGTGGTAACTTAAAGTCAGTGCTGGTTCTGATAAGTTTCTGTCCTTCATATCCATCGCAACGTTTGGAGATTTAGAGCACAACCTGTTATTAAGTCACTAAAAAACAATTCTCAGCTCGCAGTTTTTTAAACCTGAATGATGGATTTTACTAAATGCTGTAATTATTTATTTCTGAGATTAAGCTTTATGTGTCACTACAAAGAACAACAAAAATTGTGAAGCGATATGCTTAGTGTGAGCCACTTTGGGTTGATTAGCAGTTCAAACAATACTGCTAAGCAGCACATTGTTAGCAAACTCACTCGACATGTTCACACCTGGCATTAATGTGTCTCCCAGCTAACACAAGGCGACAGCTCTGAGGACAGAACGCACCCAACGCTCCACAGGGCTCCGTTTAGATCAAATGCTTCTCTTCAGAGATGGTCTGCTCACAAGAGACGAATAAAAAAGGAATTTGAAATAGTTTCTGGACTGGGAGTTGAATCAAAATGCAGAACACCCAGTTAAAGAATAAAGAGATCAGTTTGATTAAAATAAAAAGGGGGAAACTCTTTCCTTTTACGGCATGATCGGGTTCGCAAAAACAAACAAGACAGCCATTGTGCTGGTGTGTTACAGCAAAACACATTCGCTGAGCACAGGGTTAGATATCTGTGTTGACTCATTCAATTTTCATGTAGTAGTTGTTGGCCAGATGATAATTGCTGTAATTGGCTGGTTTCCTGTAATGAGCCATGCTGGTGCACATTGATGAAGGTTTGCAACGCTAGACGTGCAAAATTTCAATCACAGCTCTTTGCAAGCAAATATCATCTACAGACAGGCTAATAATAATTGAGTAGTGACAATAGACAGTGTGTTTATTTTCATGCTCCAATGTGCATACAGTGTTCTGTTGACTTTGAGGTAGAATAGAAAATTACGGCATCTTGTTCACGCTTCAAGACAACATCTGGTATAAAACTAACATTTAGTGACACATACAGCTCTGGAAAAAAGGAAGAGACCATGAACTCGGTTCCTGAACTCTTCCTGAGTTAAAACACTAGTGTTGCTGTTTCTAAATAAAAATGAACTTGTTTTCTTTGCATTATTTGAGGTCTGAAAGCGCTGCATCTTTTTTGTTATTTTCACCATATCTCATTTTCTGCAAATAAATACTAATTTTTATAGGTATATGTTTGAGTAAAATGAACTTTGCTCTTTTATTCTATGAACTACTGACAACATGCCTCTGAAATTCCAAGAAAAATGTTGTATTTATTTGCACAAAATGAGATCTAAAGCAGGGCTTTCAGACCTCAAATAATGCAAAGAAATCAAGTTCATATTAATTTAGAAACAACAATAATAATGTTTTTACTCATATTACTCGTATTACTCAGGTTCATATACATTTATATTTATGAAGTTAGATAAATAGATAGGGAATGAGATAGATATCTCTCAAAATATAATGACGCAATATATTAAAAGTAGCAAAAACTGAAATTGTATAAAACAAAAAGTTGTTATTTACAAAGTTTGGACATTTTCCAACATCTCTGCATGTCACATAGTGCAGTTTTCAGCTGCATTTCTGTATTCAATCATTGTTTGCACCGCCTGCCGGTCTTTTTAAAGCTAAACGGCGCTGGAGACCCCTCACCACACGCAGCATTATTCTGAGGCGTGGGGAGATTTACTTTCATTGAATTGAACTGTTGGAGAAATCTGCACACGCTGCCTTGCTCTAAAAGAAAGCAGCATAACTATAAATGTTCCTGCACTTCACCCTGGCCGTGATCTCCCACCATGCTTTTATTCAAATGTCACCACTTTAATGTACTCACCAAAGAGCATAGTTTCATCTGAACCTAAACACTGGCACCATTGGAAAGCCTTTTAGAAATTCCTGTGTCATCAAGTGAAAGCAGTCCTCTGCTGGTTTGTTACAAAAGCCACCATTAATGCACTGCACGCATTTTTATTTAGTAGAAATTAGATCCAGCAGCTTGCTTTAATGAATTAATATCTGGCAACATGCTACATCTTACGTTTTATTGAAGTTCTTACAAAACTTAAAAGTTGTGACTTCTAACAGCAAAAGAGATTCATCAGCAAAAATGTTAATTTGGTTTATATCATAGATTGATGTTTTGTGACAGTGAGACTGGGCGAATCTGGAGGCTGTTTTTGTTGTTTGACTGAAAATAAAAAAAAAACTTAATTGGACAGAGGCGCTGAGTCTCCACCAGTTATAAATCAGACAAATCTGCCAGGAAGGCACTTATGAGATAAAATCCCAGAAGAACAAGCTGATGAAAACAGCCAAGACTGACCCTTCAGCGTGTGAGCAACTTAAATATCATGCCACAAGACATTTCCCAGACCAGTGGCTTTGATTGCCAGAGGTGGGCAGAGAGCAGTCATGAATGCATTTCAAGCCACAAGCACTTGTATTCCTGGCAGCTTGAACTGTCATTGCAGGGATTTTCTACCTTGGCAACAGAAGCAAAAATAATCTTAACAGATTACGGGGTAATATTTAAGATAAGTACAGGGATATGGATGCAGGGGAAAAAATCATGTTTATGCACCAAAACTTTGGAATAAACATTTAAATGTTCACTTTTGGATTTTTGCTAAAATTGCTAGATAGATGTGCATTGAAGACCAAGACAAAATATCCAAAGTGCTCTGAGCTTTAAACTGATTTTGTTTTTAGAAACTTGCTTGCTGCATCTGACACTTTGTTCTCCTGAAGTACTGAAGGCACTAAGTGAAGGAAACCATTTCGCTAATTGCGTCATTGTTGCTGCCTCTGTTGACATTTGGAAAAATATTACAGCACCAAAGGGCATGCAATCAAAAAGCTTCTACGGCTAAGACAAGCCTCTTGCCTCCCACTGTGAGATCTTTATTTCCTCTTGTGCTTCTTGGACATGATTTAAAAAAAAAAATGCTTTTCATGCTATCCATGCAAAACAAGAACAAAGAAACACCTTCCTTGTTAAAATCTTTAGCAGCTCAAGCAGGAGTGAATCTAACTGTGGATGAGAAGAGTTTCTCTGCAGCTTTGCACAAACACACTCTGAGATCAGAACGTGTGAATGGCAAAAACGCCCCGAGCATTTGCCGTTTCGCTTGAAATCAAAGAGGTCTTCCAGCTTGTTTTCCTGCTGTGGGCGCGTACAGTACGCGGTGCTGCTGCCAGCTCCTGCATCCAGAGCCTCCAGCTGAACCAACAAAACAGCTGGAGCCTCCTGATTATAATGGTTCACCCAATTCAAGAGAGACGAGCATGCTCTGCAGCCACCGGGTGACTGAGCAAGGTAGAGGAAGGCTGCAAAAAGGTGAAATTACAAGTGGGGGATTAATTACTTAAATCTTGTCTGAAGTAAATATATTGAACATAAGCTATTAATTCATTAGCAAAATTAAAAGGAATAATTTACCTGCAGATTTTCTGGTTTGACTTAAACCTGAAATGCACAATCTATGATCACCTTCCTCAAACATGCGGTCAGGTATTACATTACAAGAATCATTTTTTTAAAATAAACTTCTGTTTATTATATGGAGAGATAAATAAAAAAGCTTTACATTTACTTGTGTAAATGTAAAGCTCTCGATCTGGTTTCTAAGACTTTTGAGTCTGAGATGAATAATTGTTCTGTTAAAAGCTGAATAAGCCTCGATGAGTTTCCCAAATGTTTAATTAAAGCCAAAGTTTCAAGATAAGATTGAAACTTTAAATTCAAATAATCGACTATTCATTAGTCGATTATTACAAAGAAAGATTAAAGACGACTAAGGCAACTAAACCGTTTGTGAAAAATAGATGTTGGTCTTTATAAAGAAAGCTCTGAGACACTTTTCAAATAAAAGCTTCAATTTTTCTAAGAGGAAGATTTCACATTACTAATTAAACAAAACAGGCCATTAAGAAATTATTATGATGACCTTTCAAAATAAGACTTAATAATATTCTTAAAAATAAAAACCTCTGTTCATCTAGATTATTACGCTCAGATTACAAATACAACTAAATCGGATTATGATGGCATTTCAAAAATAAAACTAGTTGAACTAGACCTGATGTGAAGAAGAGTTTGTTTTGAGGGCTTTCAAAGTTAAGAGAGTCACCAAAACAAAAGTTTTGCCTTTTCATTGTTCAAGCAGATTGTGTTGTTTTCTTTCTTTTTTCTTTTTTTTTTTTGCTAAAGTATCCCGTACTAAAAGAGAACTGAACCAGTTCTTTGCCTTTAAACGGAGTTTCTTATTGTAAAACTGAAGTGAAGAAAAGAAGCTTAACAAGTCAAAAGTCTCACCTTTACAAGTTTTCCTGAGCAGCAGTTTCCTAATGAGCTTAAGACCCAAAGCTGATGCATGTCGGACTTAAAAAAAAAAAAAAAAACGCTATAATGGGGCAAAATATGCAAAATATTAAATTCTAATGTTATCTTATAAATTGACAAGAACCACAGCAACACAATGAAAGGCTGTAAGAGTTTTGGATTTGAAAGTGAAGCCTGTAACTGAGGTGAAATGTTGCTACCTGTTGTTGAGCAGGGCCAGCAGCTCCCCAACATAGAAGAGGTCGTTGCGGGTCAGCTGGCTGAAGCGGAACGCGTTCAGGTTGCAGAAGGTCACCGCCGGGAACGTCATGACCGGAGTCGAGACCTCGTCCAACTTGGTGACGTGCGGGTACTCGAGGTAGAAGTGGATCCGATCCACGCACACGTAGAGCAGGAAAGTCAGCGAGGCCAGGAAGAAGACGAGCCACAGGAACCGTTTGATCCAGAAGCGCTCGTAGGTGAAGATGTGGGAGATTCCGTGCAGGGTCGAGCTGTGCGCAAAAACTTCTATGGGTGGAGGCTGGTTCGAATCCAGTTCTTCCGGCTCCACTTTCAGATCCATCGTTAACAAGCGAGGGCTTGAATGCATCAAGTCAAAACTGGGAAAGTATTCCTTCAGCAGAGAGCAGCTCTGCTATCACCCTTCGGAGCGTGCGGAGGACCAGTCTTTGACCTGATGCAGTTTTGTCGCCATCACTCAGTCAGCTCTGCGTTTAAGCAAAACATTTTCTGCAAAGAGCACCGCCGAGCTGCCGGAGCCCGGGTCCATCAGCACAGCGCCACAGTCCCGATCTGCAGCTTTCTCAGCGGGAGAGGAGAAGTCGTGAATCGCTGGTCGATCATAAGTCCGGCGGAGCGCGGATAATTCCTGCACGCCAGCAAGAAGGAAACCTCGGAGCTTGGAGGCGGAAAGGAATATCTTTGGACACTTCAGCAGAAGTTGCTTCAACCCGTTAAATAAAGGCTGAATTTGTCCACTCTGGACGCCGTAGAGAGGAGTCGGTGGTCGGTGCTGACTGAGTCGTGCGGGCAGGTTGTGTTCCTCCGCTGCTGTGCGTGTGTCAGTCTGAGAGCGGACTGACGCTCCTCTGCTGTTTACCTGTCACTTTAGGTTTTTGTGGCTCCCACACACACGGCTGCACCAGTGGCTTCACAAACAAGCAATTTTAGCTGCAGTTACTTTTATTTATGTGTCAGAGAGCTGGCTGCGCGCACACGAATGATTAATTGGCTCAAAAGAGAAGAAAACGCAAACCTGATTTCCATGTGTGCAGAATATTTTCATGTGTGTGCGCTGCCATGGCTTCCTGCTTAGCTTTTGTTTTGGTTTGGTTAAACATCGGGTCAAAACGACCAAATGGTGGAAAAAGAGAGAAACGAGGAGGACAAAGAAAAGAGAGGGAGGGAAAAAAACTGAATGTCCCCGACAGAAAGTGAGTCATTTTAGGCAGCTAAGTGCGCGTACAGTGAGCATTTTGATTAAGTAATATTATCCACTGTCATCACTGAAAATTACCTAGGGTACACGATATGCTGGTGTTGATATTCTTCTCCAATTAACTCCAGGATAATATATGAATCTTTAAAGTGACAGTGTTTTGTAAAATCGACTGAATGTTGCATGAGGTCATAATGGTATTTTTTTCTTCAAAAACATACATGTGGTGTTGCCTTGATTACTTCATGAATGTTTGAGAAATCCTTTAATTTCCAGTAGCAAATATTGAGCTGTGCAAAAGGCCTGGGTGGACTTAGCCTCGCCTTTAAGGACGAAGCTCCTCCTTCCAGCAAAGCAGCAGGACATCTTCTTACTGTGAAGAGGGCATCTTCCATCAATGGTTTGCTTTAAAGCAGCTTAAAACATATTTCTTCTCAGGAGGTTTATTCTGTACAGTTGCATCAGATAAAGCAATTAGTTATTAGTCTACTGAGCTCTTGAGGAAAGATTAAATAAATTGTGGACTTGGATTTAAAAGGCATACACTTATCACATATTCATCTTATCTTTAAAAAAACGAAACTAGCTGGTTATTTTCAACTGACTTGAAAAATGTCGGTCAAGCAACAGGCAGATACAAATGTTCTAATGGTTATTTATAAAACCAATAAGCTACATTTTTTATGTATCTAGAAAAACTGTTAAACTTCCCTACTTTCTGAGTGCAACTAAACATAAAAAGAAAAACTGTGAGATAATTTCTGTTTGTCTTGCAGATAATTCCATAAAATGTACAAGATTTGGTGAGGAATTTTTCTTTTAAAAGCCAATAGCCTTATTCTTTTTTACTTCCATAATTATTTTTGATTTACTTCTAATATTATTTTACCTTTAGTCCTTTTGGATTGCTGTATGTCTTATCAAACTGACATGTTGTTAATTAATTTAAAAAATATTTTCAGTAGTAGGAAAAGCAAACTATCCAAGTAAATTGGTTTAAATATTGATATAAGCCCAGCTACAAATCAGTTTTTGTTTTCAAAAATTGGGACAGTCCTGTTTATGTGGCTGGCTGCTGTCAATGGTGCTGCTGTAGCGCAATGTTCCTCTCCGAGGCTGCAGAGGGCGCCAGAGCGCAAACGTCACTACCCCTACCAGCAGAAGGAAGAACGACATGTGAGCAGCAGCAGGAGGAAAAAGATGGCGATACCCATCAGGATCTCCCCTCTCTGTCGCTGGGCAGGGCGGACATTGTCCTCGCAGTCTGCGGGACACAGGCGGGAAGTCAGTCTGTCAGCGAAGAGGCGCTTTATATGCACATCAACGGGAAACCGTAAGTTCATGTTTTATAGAAGCTAGTTATTAGCAATGCTAATACAGAGCTTAATGTCCGATGTTATGCTCAGCTCAGTCTGAGAGCTATTCACAAAAGATTGTTATTGTTACCAGATTAGCCATCCTATTCATTTGCCCTTCATGTTAAAAAAAAAGCACAGCTTTATCTGGGAGTGCAAATCCAAAAACTTACAAAAACGAAGGGGGGGGAATCTTGACCTCAAAAGGGCAACAAAAGATCAAGGGTAGATTAAAAAGTTCATGTGACAAAAAACTGTCTTTAAAACGGGCCTATTAACAAGCATTTACTATATAAAAATATATATAAATACTGTTGACCTTAGTTGTAGCCACTCCCGCTGCACACCCATGGGTTCTTGTTGAAATACTGGACACGCTGTCCAATAATAGATGGAGCAGCTTGCTGCTGCATGTTGACACAATACTTGCAGAGACAAGTCCGCCAGTAGTTTTGTAACACACTTCATGCGGAGAGCTGGTCCTTGACTTTAAATAACAACTCTTAATATAGACATACTGTTTGGTGGATTTGACTATTTTGAATGGATGGTAATCTGCTTTGACTATAGCCTTACTGGTTTCTGTACAAATATGTAAATAATGACAAATTACACTAACATGATGGCTTCAAATTGACTTTTTACAGTTTTACAGGTAATTTGGATTTTTAAAAAAAGATAATCTAGTAATTCCCATGATTGCCATTACCACTATCTTACTTGAAAATGGTCTCAAAACAATCATTTTATGTCTATTGTGATAGCTTTTGGGCTAATTTATCGTCCAGCAAAATTAGTTATTGTGACAGGCTTGTACTTTTTGGGTAAAATGTACGGAGAACTTAGTTAATTCATAAATAACATGCATATAAAAAATGTCAATATTTAGATTTTTTACTATTAGTTAACACATTTATGTTTTTTTTAATTTTATTTCCAGACCTTCAGTTCAGACTCGATGAGCGCACGGCCCACAGCAGCCTGGATCTCTTCAAGAAAGACACGGGCATCATCTACCGCATGCTGGGCCTCGACCCCTCCCAGGTCCAAGACGACCCCGAGCGTTTCCGAGAGTGGGCCGTCGTGTTGGGCGACAAAACGATTAGCAGCGGACGACATTACTGGGAGGTCACGGTGAAAAAGTCCCAGGAGTTTCGTCTGGGGGTCGCGGAGGCGCTGATGTCCAGAGACGAGTGCGTGGGTACCAGCAGCTCCTCCTGGGTGTTTGGCTATGCTCAGAGGAAGTGGTTCGCCATGACCGGCAGTAAGGTGGTTCCTGTGACTCTGGTGGGGAAGCCGGACCGAGTGGGGATCCTGCTCGACTACGACGCCAGGTTCGTGGGGCTGGTGGACATCGAGAAGCCCAGAATCATTCACACACTCGCAGCTCGGTTCACGGCTCCCGTTTGCCCGGCGTTTGGGCTTTGGGATGGGGAAATCCTCACACACTCTGGTCTGGAGGAGCCAGACGGCCTGAAGTGAAGCTGGATTAACCCAGTTGACTGCCATGGATAATCAGGCAGCATTTATCAGTATCCTACATAACTGTGCAGGACAAACAGCAATAGGACTTATCTTCAAATGATGATTAATTACTGTGTAATTCAGCAAATCATCACTTTGAATAATACTAACTCATTCTGTGTGTGTTTTCTGCGTGTAATGGAACATTACCTCAGAGACTAAATGAGGAAACAAGGAACATGTGGTTAGATTTGAGAAATATTTGCTGCCAATTTTGTCTTATACACTGCATGCTGTGGTATTCTCCACAAATGTACTCCTTAAAACATCACAGAACTCCTCTGTGCTCATATTCAAACCATGTATTGTTTAATAAAATAACTTCACTGAAATTTTCCACATTTTTCTTTTTATTTACAGCAAAATATTTACAGTGAACTGAAGATTTGTACAGAAGTTTTGCTGAGTAAAAAACCAAAACTTACGAAAAAAAAAACTTTTAGTTATGAGTATATTACATCTTTATCTTATTTTAAATTTACATGTAGAGTGTTTGATATTTTCCTTGAAAGCAAAAACATGTTTAAACCTTATTTTGAGAAACTCTTTATTCACTTTACTCATGTTTCCAAACTTGTAGATGGTAAATAATGATGGTAAATTGAAACGTAAACAAAAAATACAATCAGGACACACCAACCACTAGCTTAATATGCTGACATTGCAACAGAATCGACTGATGGCAATGGGAAAAATAAATCGATGAATGTTTAAAGTTTTATGAAAATGAGAGAAATGTAAAGGTTATGAAGCTAGGAATTGAAAACATGACAATCATGTAAGTGTGGGATTTAAACACTCAAACTAAATCTGTTACTTTTAAGACATTTGTGAAGAAGCAGATTCTGATCAGTTCTTGTATGACGCATAAAACCTGCAGGAAATCATTTTACATTCCATAAAGGCAGCCATTTTGAACACAACCAAACATGAAGAAATTAAGGGACAATTGGTATTTATGCCTGGAGTTGATATTTAATGTTTTATATGACTTGTATTAAACTCTGAAATGTATCTAAGTGTTTCCTCTTAGATGATGCATTTGTAGTACAAAAATATTGAACGTATTTAGATTTAATGATGGAGATATCGACTGATTCCAGTCTTTTGATTGGTGCACCTCAAAAATACACAAACCTGTTTGAAATTAAAAAGAATAAGACCAGTATAAATTCTTTCCAAACTAATTTTCAATTTTCAGATCAATTCAGCTGACAAATAAGCAGAAATATAGAAAGGCTAAAAGATATCATAATCTGGTTGCATAACTCTGCATATCTGCTATATTTACTGTAAGTTTAGTTGATAAAATAAGTTTGCAAAACAGAATCCTGTTTTTTCCTTCCAAATGTCTGAAAAACTGCACGGGAGAAAGTGTTTTGAATGTGGAACACGGTGTTGGCAGCATTATGCTCTGGGATTATAATTCTTCTGATGGAGCAAGGCATTTTTTTTCCAAGATGGAGGAGATTGTGAGCTGTTCCAAATACTCGGTTTTAGCTCATTACATTTTCTGCCAAATGGCTGAAAATGAAAGAGGACATTATATTTTGGCATCTCTGGTTCAACAAGAAAAAAATAGTATATTTAAAATTTGCTGACCTTTATTCCAGGACTAAACTGTCTGTTGTTTCAGTAAGGTATTATTTTAAAAGTGTGCACTCTTATGCATTCAGGTTATTGAACTTTTAAAATCTTTCCCTTAAATTTATTGGTTTGTCAGTTGAATTATACAAAAACTTATAATAAAGGTGGAAATTTAAAAATATGTAAATATGTGGTCTTATTTCTTTAGGCCTTAAAGCCTGATAGGAAACTATATGTCTTGGCTATCAATGCAACTGTTTGGTTTAATTGTCTTTAGCCACAGTATTGGCCCCCCGAGTCTCACAATTAAAAAATCAACATAAGGGTTTATACAGTCTTCATAAATCCTAAACACCACAGTGAGCATTTACATATCAATAAAGAACAAAACAAAACCCAGCTGGTTGGGAGGATACTGAAGTGCATATTATTTTCCCAACAAAACAGTCCCAGTAGTTTTCAGGCTCCCTTTAAATAAATCACTAAGACACAATGAAGTTTAATCCCCAGAGTATTTTAATTAAGGCCCTGTTCACACTGGATGAATCCCCTCTATGATTCTAATTACCTGTTAGAAGCTGCTTGGATTGCTGCAAATGAGGAAAACCTCCTTCAGTGTGAAAGAAATCATGACACAGCTACACCTAGCAGTCGCCAGACGGACCTTAGTGCTATTTTCTGCTTCTCTGATTGGCTCTCCTGCAGCGTTGGCATGGTCTGGAGATCAGCAGCACATTCACATGTTGATCACCTCAACATCTACACTTTCACTAGCAGTGCCCTCTAACAGCGGTGTCCAGTTCTGGTCCTTGGAGGCCCGTGTCCTGCTGCAACTTATTCGAAATGAACGAATAACCTCTTCAGCATGCCGTCAAGCACTGCGGGGTTCCTGGTAACTGTTCATTTGAGTCAGGTGTGTTGAAATAGGAAAACATCTGAAACATGTAGGATGTCTGCACTTGAGGACAGACACTGTACACTACACCAAAATATCGCTCTATCACTATGCTACAGGCACAGATTTTATATATATATATATATATATATATATATATATACATATACACACACACACATACATCCTTGAGAGGAGGTGGAATCATGCAGTCTCCATAATGTTTACATGCATTATGTGTTTGCCTTACTATGAGGATACTGAAATATTATATTTACATATTATACAATTACAATATATTACATTACAATTTGGATTGCAGCAAACAGGAAATCCAGGAGTGCGTTCAAAATGCTGTCGAAATGTTTCAGTCTCCCAGCAACCAGCACATCCAAGGTCAGGCACAATTTGGAGGTGTGTGCGCTTCTTTTTTGCAGGGATGCTTTCTCCTCCAGCGCACTGCTTCCTGTACTCCTTCCTTTGTTAAACTGGCTTTAGTATGATGCTAATATGCTGCCGAGATGACAATAAATCACCATTACTGTTCTACGTAGGCTTTGTGCGAAATGGAAACGGTAATGGGAAGCTTCGGCTCCAGAACCATTTTCCAGTACCCTGCTGAGTTTCACCACTCTGGTTAAAATCGCACAGTGATCTCATTCCAGTGTGAAGGGGGCCAAAGAAAAACATAAATAGCACAATTTTTAAATATTTACATCTCAGTAACATTTCTCAATCAAATTTTTGCACAAAACAAGAATATTACTACCCAACCAAACTAAGGTAGGTTAGCAGTAATTTATTATTGATGTAGTTCTGTAGTATGTTCTTTTAGTAAGCCTTCATCCTGTACATATTCCAAATTCCGGCCCAGTTAAACCAAATTAAAAGAAAATGGTGCATCCCTTTTTTCAAAATTGACGTCAAACATTCCACACCATTAATAAAAGGTACACATTTTATAGCCTTTGGTTGGAAAATGTAAAAATGTCAGTCTTTTCAGAAGGCCTGTAAAGCAAGTAATAATAATTTCTTTTGATTATTTAATATATTTTCTGAGAATATTTCAATGTTCATCAGTTCTCCCAATTACCTTCTGTCCTGTGATTCTATCCCGCTGTGAAACAGAAGGTTTCAATCCGAACTTTCATGGATATTTGTTAAACGGAGTTCTTCATCGTGTCCATCGCGGGGTTCTTTTCCTCTGTGCTGCTGGACGAGTCTTTGTACTCATGTTGGTACTTTTGCAGGACTGAAATAACAACATCATGGCCAAACTGCATGGCGTCATCAAGGGGTGTGTTGCCCCATCTGATAGACGACAGTGTGAAATGGACAAGGATGGGCTGTTATAGTTAGTAAAATGAGTTAGTATCAGATGAATGGTGACAACCCTAACCCCACCTACCTGTCCTTAATGTACGGATTCACTTTACATATTTGTGTCAGGAACGTTACAGCGTCCACGTGGCCTAGGAGGAAAATGAGCATGAGCAGAAACCACGCAGCATTTGAAGTGCCGTATTTCATTGAGTTTTATATAAATGCCAAACCCGACATAATTTAAGGATGATCGAAGTAATCATGCTAAGTGTTACCTCCGGCAGCAGCGACGTGGAGAGCAGTGCGAGAGTCATAATCCCTCTGCTCCATGTCAACCGCTGACAGCGCGAACCTGGGGGAGACGGAGACAGAGGAGGCACGAATAAAGAAATATTGCTGTAAATGAAGGGAGGGAGCGATGCTCGCTGTGTGGAGGTAAGCTACAAGGACAAAAGGTGTGTATGTGCAAACGTTATATATTAAAACAATTATAGCAAAAGTATGCTGTTCAGAATAACATTCAAATTTAAATCAATTTAAAGTTTCATGATCCCTAGCAGCTGCTTTACAACTTGCAGTATGTTATACTGTAAGTTGAGTATGTTTAATGGCAAAAAAAAAACATACTGACAATGATATGACTAAAATAATTTAAGTTTTTTTTTTCTGCAGTGTTTTATTTGGATCCTATAAATGCTGGAGAAAGAAAATGTTTGTTTCTACTGACCTCCTCAGAGCACAGACGTCACCGCTGTACGCTGCAAACATCAGATTAACGACCGACTTGTTCTGAGGGAAAACACGAAGAATATTAAAGTTTATAAATTCTTGCAAAGGCAGTTTCATGTTTAAAAAAAAAAAAAAACAGGCAGCTTGTCGGTCGTTTGTGGCACTAAACTCACCGGATCGTCGTCCGTCCGTCTCCTCGGGTCGTGTTTCTTGGTGAAGTGCCTCAGGTTGTCATAATTATGGAAGTTGAAGTAAGAAACAAGCTCCTTTCGGATCAAATTATTGTTGTTTAATAATCTATGGTTATATCTGAAATGTATTTGTCTGGATAAGAAATAAGCAGCCTACTTGACAAAAGTGAATTCCTCTGACGCTGTTTCCGAGCCGATCCAGCGGCGGGGACCAACACAGCATGCCCATAACGTTGGGAACCACCAGCAGAACGGCGCCTGAAATGCCAGATTTGGCAGGCAGCCCCACCTAAGCAAGGAGAACAAAAACAATACTGGAGCCGGAGTAATTTATCCTGAAGACAACAGTCCATTGAAACATGAAATATGTCGGTCATTTCGCGTCTCTGCCTAATTGAAATATTTTCAGGTTGGTCTTTTTGTTTCAGGATTTTTTTACAGCAAAAAAAAAAAAAAATCTGATTTAAGCTAACTTTTTATGATTACTTACCTCCATAATTAATTAAACAACTAAGAAAATAAACTGATTTGTTGACTAGGAAAGCAATGGTATGGAAAAAGAGAGACCAAACACTCTGATTCTGCCCCACAGTCATCAAAACTCTTTGTTAAATTAAAACTAAGACACTTACATGGAAAGCAAATTGCCCGGAAAAGTCGTACATCCCGCAGGAATGCATCAGACTCAACGTGTTGCGAACGGATTCAGCACTTAGCACACGATCGCCTGTGGTTGGACAAATGCCTCCATTGGCCAGTGTTGCGGCCATGACACTTCCAGACTCGCAGGTCACCTCAATGGAGCACAACTGGAATGGAGAGACAGACACATATTTTCTGTGAGAAATATTCCCAGGTTTTTGCTAAATGCCTCACATGCAGGCAGGTGGTTGTTATGAAAGAGTAACAGAAACCAACTTTGGGACAAATTATCTCCTACAAGAGCCTCTAAGTTTGAAACAAACAATAAAAATGGACACAGAGATAAATATTATTATTTTCCACAGGTACCTACAAACTTGAACGTAATTATTTTACCGACTGAAAATATTTTGAGAACTTGACAGTAAAACAAAAGAAAATATGTAGGATTGTATTTATGTGTAGGTTCTGAGTCAAGACTTCAAAAAACAAAACAATGATTTATAGTTTATTATTTAAAAATTGTGTTTCTTTATATTCTAATAATTGAATAATGATTAATTAATCCTCTGTAGAGTCATTTTTTAAAATAAAAACTTTAAAGCTGAATCCCATATATTGGAAAAAATGTCAGATTTCTTAAGCCACATGGATAACATTTAGTAATTTTGTATACATTTAATATACAACTTATGAATCATGAAAGAAATACCCTTTTTTTAAATCAGGTTCAGTGAATCAGAGAACAAATGTTATTTTCCTACACATACTTTTCTGGAAGCAAAACTTCCCTATCAATATTTTGCCCACTGAAAAAACCGGAGAAATACTGTAAATAGTTACCTGGAAGTAGAAGTCAAGAGCTCCGACCATATCTGCACGGTCAGGGAAGCACTGCAAGAATTACAATCAGAGTCAGCACACAATAAACGGCGCCCTATAGATGTATTAACAGCCAGGGAAAAGTTGTGTACAAAAGCCTGTAAATTAGTAGTTGTAATTTGGATTTGGTAAGTTCAGCTCTCCACTTTGTAGCAATCCTTTAACAACCAGCTTTTGGGACTCTAATGCTCTACCTGTAGATACGGGCAAATTTAGGTTAATGGCTGTTTTCTTCTCTCCATGTTCTCATTTGTAAAGAAAGTAAAACAGGGTGTTTTTATTTTTTGTCTTTTTAAGTTTGACGACTGGCTGGAGGAATTATTAGCCTGCACTTCGTGGCATATTTATAGCTCAAGAAAACAAAAAGTCATGGCTTATTCAATTATCTTTAAAGAACCTTCAGTTTAATATGTTTTTTGAAACATTATGATGCCAATAGTGCGGCATAACTTGTTTTATAAAAACTGTGATTTTTTTTCTAAACTTGGATGAATGTATGCAAATTAAAACACTGATTTAAGCTTTTTTCTTCACCAGAAGTACTAAGAAAATGACTATCAGATACAAAAGTTGAACACACAAACCTTTTTTTCTTTCAGGTAATAACCAATTGCATAGTTTCTATCTCCAGTCTCTCTCTCTGACTGGAAACTGTAAGAATACAAAGGTATGAAAAACTGCATTTGATTAAAAACATCAGAACAACCAGTTTTTTTTTGTTTTTTTTTCCTTACGTAGCATTGCTGAATCCCACATACTCTGTACCAGCCATACTTTTCAAGAACTGCATCACCTGTGGAAACACATTTAGAACGCGCTCAGTCGGAAACCCAATTCAGAAAGATGAGTTTGAAAGAGCTGAAGCTGAAAAGCATTTACTCACATAGTCAAACCTCTCCGCTTTATTTGAATGCGTCTAAAAAAAAAAAAAAGAGAGAGAAGAAAGAAAATATTTCACTAGGAACATGTTTACAGCGCTTCACCAGGATCCTACAGATGGCAGTGTTTCAGTGCTGCAGCTCATTTTGCACAGCATGCCTGGTTGGATGTTGTGCAACGGGTAAATGTCGCTGGTGAGTGTGTCACTCCATGTGGCAACGTGCTCAGTTTGGCCTGGCGGCTGTTTTATGGCTGTTCTTGAATTTCACACACCACTAAAGGATCAGTAGCAGGTGAAGGAGTTGTCAAGAAGGAGCAGCAGTCATATATACTCATATTTAGAGACTCAAATAATCATAAAGGAGTTAAAAAAAAGGGAGCATTTATCAGTTTTGTCCTTTGACCCTATTAGTTTTTGTGGTTGTAGGTATAGAGGCACTTGACCCAGTAAAGACTCAAAAAACACAGATAAAACCATGTTTGCTTAAACAGTTTTACGCACATGGTAACGCACCCTCTGCCTTGGCAGCTGTGATTGGTCAAAGGCACGCACTCCCCTGTTGTTAGACGTAAACCAGGTTTATGACCTTCGCATAAGTCAGCTGGAAAACTTTGAAACATCTCCAGAGAAGAAACGGGACCACATGTGGCTAAAATACCCCAACGCATGTTCACATCGGGTGACATGACCATCATGCAGCTGCCACGGAGACGGCTTAGGTTTCAGTCTCTGAACGGACACAAAGTGATTTTGATTCTTAAGCCACACTGAAATTTAATTTCAGTAAATAACAAAAGAATAAAAAAAACTACTAACAAGAAAATTATTATTAAATTTCTTAAAACAAATTGACACCTTTCAGAACAATGTGATTATATAGACCTGTAAGCACAAAGCTCTAGAACGCTCTTAAATATCACCAGGAGTATAACTGTGTGAGAGAATAAGGTGTGCTGCTGCTAACAGCCTGAGGCCTGAGTTTAATCTCATGATGTCAGACATAACCAGCTGCTTCCTGCAAGTTCTCGCTTTGCTTCCCTCTGACATCCTCATTGCTGCTAGTCAATTGTTTCATATTATATTGTAAAGTGTCAGCATCTGCATACACACAATACCTATTAGATCAGAGCTGATTCTAATAATATAGATGGCTCACTAATGGCTCTTGACTCTTGTTTATGTTTAAAATGAGAACAGCCTGATATTGTGAGCTTCAAACTGGTGTTATAAGGCATTTGATCAAGGCTTCAAGAGTCCAAATCTCCAAACTTTTCCTCACATATCTGAATCCAGTTTATTACTTTTAGCCTAATCCTCTCCCTTCTCTCTATTCTTGTTTTATATGCTATTATCTAGTTTTATTTATTTATTTCATTTATTCATTCAAAAAAAGAGTTATTTTCCTAAGCTTGCTATTAAGTTCTTGTGGCAAACAAAAGAAAAAAAGTAGACAATTTGATGCACTTTCACTGTATTAATACTGTATATCTTTGATAAATTTTTGAAAAAATAGAAATAGTAAGGTGTTACCTTGATCAAAGAACTAATGACGATAGCTCCAGCGTTCACCATGGGGTTGTGTGGTTTATCTGCAAAGAAGCAAAACAAAAGCACTCAGTGAAAACGATGAGGTAAATTTTCTGCGGGGAACTTGCAGGTGCCATTAGGTTATAAACCAAATTTAAAAAAAAAACTGATGGTTAAAAAAAATGTGATAAAATGGTAAATAATTAGAGTAGAATACCATTTTAACTCTTTTCTACTAATATATAATTTTTTATTTTTATTCCCAATTTGTGGCAGAAAAACATTTAGCTTCTGGCAGATCAGTTCTGGACCTACTTTATAACAAGCAGTTTAAGGATCTATCCAGTTGATCTCTTCTGCCAATCTTACCAATCAATATCTGCTGTCAGAACTAATTACTTAGTGTTCGTTTGGTCTCTGTTTGGGTTCATAACTCAATTTTGTTTGATTTGTGTGACATTTCGGAAGGAGAAATTGTATTGAAAGAGAACTACATGATCACCGCAACAACCCAAACACATTAGAGCTGTTACTCCAGACACAAGGACAAATACAAACAACTGGCAGGACTTTTGTCTGTGGAGACAGACGTTCTGCTGAGTTAATGACAAAGTGGGTTTGAGCACATCCAAAGGCGATGCAACAGTCAGTAAAGATGGTATTGTTTTGCATTGACAAGGCGACTGGAGTTGATTACATAAATTGCTTGCCTTCCTCATTTAGCGACAGTTTGTTGAACTTGAAGCCACTGGGCTCCTTGCCCACAAAGCGGTGAACGTGTTCGGTGCCAAGCTCATGCACAGCGATGGCGTACTCGAGTGGCTTCACACATGACTGCAGGCAGAAGGGAACCTTGGTGTCGCCCACTGAGTATCTGCAAGCAGAAAGGTCACAATGGAGAAACAAAAGAAGCCTTATTAAGGCTGCACACAAAAAGAGCAGAGCACATCCGAGGCCGGTGCTATGTTACCTCTGTCCATCGATGGTGCAAATAGATACGCCCCAAAGATCCGGGCTGAACTTAGCCAACTGAGGAATGTAATCGGCTACCTGAGGAGATGAAACCCCTGAAATCACAGCGACCATCATGACTAAGCAAACGCTGAGCCTGAGCGACTCTTACTTACTTGCCCTCCTACTTGCTGCTGTGCATTCTCAAACATCCTGTTGATCTGGAGGGTGAAATCCTCAAAGTCAGGGATGATGAAGTTTTTTCTGAAAGCCTTCGTCAGCAACATAATGTTGTTGCCGATACACCTGCAGACAGTAGGTGGAGAATTTTAAAAATTTTGAAAAAAAATTAAACCGGATTCTCTTTTTGACTCAATGTATAGTAAATGAGACCGGTGGTTTCTTAGACATGTGTGAAAAAGTAATGAGATTTTACAAACTTTTTAAATCAACTCATGTAATTTTTAATTTAATAATGAAATATATAAAAAAACAAGACAAATTGTCAAATAAGCTTTGTTTTCCAGTATATATTATCAGATTTTAATTGCTATAATTTCATTACTCCATTTTTTAAAAATTTTTTTTAGTTTGAACAACATTCCCTGTCAAAGGGTGGAGAACGTCATTGGTTCAAGTATAAAAACATACCTATTTAATTATTGGAGGTTGCAACACTATATGTTGCCTAAACTGTAATACCTCTCAAATATGTTTGAAAAGCTTAAAAATAAAAAATAAAATTTATTGAAGCAACTGTATTCAACATCATTGAAAAATATAGCTTTTAATTTGACAATTTCAGTTAATTGGTGGAAGATTATGGACATTTTTTTTTATTTACTAAAATCGACCAACTTTAGGTAACAGGACAAATGTAAGTCTTCTCTTAAGAAGAGAAAGCGACCCACAGCATCACAGATTCTAGAATGGATGGAAGGACATGAGGGCATAAGGTCAAAAGGAAAAACATAGCATGTCATGCCATATTAACCCAGGAAAACAGGAAGAACCTAGCAAGTATAAATTATATTACTGTCAGTGTCAGACAATACGTTTGGCAGTTGCATGTTCCCCCACTGAGTTTCCAAAATTGTTCAGTGTGAGTTTGTGCTTCTGCAACAAAAGATGAATTCACCTTAGCCTAGTTTCACCAGGAGTAAATCCCTTACTGTTCCAATTGTTTATCTTCATTCATAGGAAACACTTTTACATTAAGTCATACTTAGACATTACCTTAAGTCCCCCTAGTTGGCATTGTATGGAACATGGTGGAGTCTCGAGTCAGAACCGTTGTTATAATTGGTGAGCATCGTGGCATGCTTTCAAGGAATGTTAAGGGTATATTCTCCCTCAGCTGGTATAAACTAAAATATGCAGCCAGGAGCCCTAGGTGATGTTAGCATGAGGCTTTCAAAGTGAAAAGAGAGTGGGCTGCATTTTGCATTATTTATGCCGGCCATTTCCAAAAACCAACAGATGATTTCTCTCTTTATTCCAGCAGAATATTTGTGCTAAAGCTCCCACAGTCTCTTCATTTTAGAAAACAAGCAGAAACATCGCGGCTGACTCGTTCAGCCAGACACAGCAATGTGCCACTGCAGAACAGAAGATGAGAATTATACCTCAGTTAGGGAATTACAGAATTAGGAAAGGAGGGAGTGTGGTGCCTTTGAGCCTGCTAATGTAGCTGGCAGTCTGGAGCTCGACCAGAATGATGCCCTTTCATTAGCAGACTCAGAGACCTCACTACTTCCCTCCGAGCTCCACTGCTTCGGCTGCCATGCATGCATGCACATGAATTTGCTTCATAGCAGCTGTCAGCTATAAAACACCAGTGTCTGTCAGTCTCCAGGACTCAAATAGAGCTGGCCACAAATCACCTTTTTTATGTAACAAAACCACATTAGAGTCCCTCAGTTTAATCTGACCCAACACCTTGTACTCATTTATTATTTTTCCCATGCATTAAGGAGCAGGTGTGTGTTTTAACTATTAATTGTGCAGCATTTAATAGTTAAATCCAGAATGTTTGTTGAAGTAAATGCATTATGTCTCCTCTCTGCTTAAAGTCTTATGAAAGTATTCACACTCCTTGGTTTTTTTTTTTTTTTTTTTTTTTTTTTTGGTCATGTTCCAACTATATTTTTTGAGATTATACATGATACACTATTTGTGAATTGGGAGAAAATTATTCATGTTTTTCTTTTTTTCCCCACACATAAAACCCAGAAAATGAGACATGCATCAGTATTCACGCCCCCACTGGGTCAATATTTTGTAAAAATATCATTTGGGAAATACAGCTGCATGTCTAGATGCTGCATCTAAAGACTAAATTTCTTCCCAGTCTGTAAAAAACATAGTGCAAACCCAGTCAGACTGGATGTAGAGCAGCTGTGAAATGCAGTTTTCAAGTGTTGCCAGAGATTCTTAATTTTAATTAAATGTGGACTTTTACTGGGCCATTCTAATACATAAATGTGCTTTGACATAAAACATAAATTATGTGTCCAGCTGTGCGATTAGGATAGTTGTTCTGTTGGACGGATAAAACTTGTTTGTAGCCTTTAATATGTTTTTATTTTGCAGGATTGACATGTTCATAGCTCATTCTTTGCATCAACTCTGACTAGCTTCTATGTCCATGTTGAAGAGAAACCACATAGTTTTACTTTTAGGGATTGGATTTTCAAAGCATTGTGCAGTGTTAATTTCCGCCACACATATGCATTTTGATAACAGAGCAACAAGTTCATTTTTCTGCCTCATCTTACCAGAGCACCACCTTCCGTATGTTTGATGTGACCCCTATATAGCTTGTGGCAAACTGCAAATGGGTTTTCTTCTTGCATCTTTTCCATAAAGGGCAGATTTATTGAGCGCACAGCTAATAGCTTTTCTTGTTGACAGAAATTTCCACCTGATCTCCACTGGGTCTTTTGGCTTATTCTTTAATTAATCCTCTCCTCACTCAGCCAGTCAGAACAGATGGATGGCCGATGGCTTAACACATGCTAAAACTTTTAGATATTGTTTTATAACCTTCAACTTCTCCACAAATTTCTCCCCGACTTTCTTCTAGCTGTGTTTGTTGATGCTTACTAACAAACCTCCAAGACTTTAACAGAACAGCTGGGTTCATACTGAGATCAAATTACTCTAAGCTAATTAGGAGACGACGAGGGGATGGTGGTTTTACTTAGAGGCATCAGAATGAAGGGGGATGAACAGAAATTATGCACTACATTGGGTCGTGCTATCAGATAAAATTATAATAAATACATGGAAGCTTTTGAAAAACACTGTAACTGTCCAGACGTTTTCTCACCTTCTGAAAAGTTTTTTGTCCATCATGACCGGTCCCATGGAGTCAAGCGTAGACTGTCTCATCTGACGGACACAGTCCCGCAGCCGAGGGTCAGACGTTAACAAACCCGTTCTTCTCAAAGCCTGGAGACAATGGAGAGAGGAGTTTGAACTAATTTTTTTCAGAAGGGATAGTAGAAACGCTGATTAATGGTGGCTATTACTGTACGGACTCCGGTGTATTAAGTCGAAACCACGGGATTCTCCTGTCAGCTGCAGGAATCTTTGAAATACAGGGTCAGGGGTTTTCAAAGGCACAGGTGTGCCTGCAAGGAAATGAGGAGGGCAGCAGAGCAGATAGCGGCTATCTCACTCCTGCTGCTGGTGTCACTGACAGACACTGCACAAAGCACGTGGGTCTATTTTGGAGATACCATGTGTTTGACCCTCCTGACCAGAGAAGCTTTGGTTTTTTTTTTTTTTTTTTTTTTTTTTTTTTAATTTACTCATCACAGTTGACAAGCTCTTCAAAGTGTAAGCAGACCTGACAAATGGCTGTTGCAGTTGCTTGATTTCTGTGAAATTCTTAGCCTCAACGCAGAAATAGTGAAGTTAGAGCTCCGTGCAGGCTGTTCTTATTTTGGAGTTCATTAGCTTGAGCCATCAACTTGAAACAAGATTGAATTGTTCCTATTAGGAGTGGGCAACTTTTTGTAAGACTATTACAAAAAGTAATAGTCATGTAAGACTATTGTGATAACAATAAAAATCTATTTATTACTTCCTTTTTGGTAACTGTATGGCACAATGTGTATTGAAAAGCTTGTCTATTAGAAATAAGCTTCTTCAGAACGCCACTTGCTTAAAGAATTGTGATTTAGGGTTTTTTTTTTTTTTATTCTCTCGTGTAAAAAACGGGGTTGAAAATAGCAAATATAACATTTTAATTTGTTTTTTTTTTTTTTTTTTTTTAAAATACCTAAAGTTTATCGTGGAAACAATAAATCAAAATTCTTAACATGGCAAGAAATTTTTCACAATGAATGATAAACAATACAATAAATGCCCACCCTTAGTTTCTATCACATACCAATGTGAAAATTCTGGATGATAATGATGTCCAATATTAATATTGCTGTTTTGGCTGATAACCAATATATATCTATATTATATATATTTCCTGACTTGACACCATGGAAAAACGACCATTGACATTGCCGTGCTGCTTCAGTCAAAAACCCAAAATATTACTCTGCATCACTGTCACTATAAGGTGCCCAAACAAATATCACATGACTAACGCCTCCCTTTACCAAAACACAGAAGGGACAGTAGTTCTTATGCATTTCTAATATTTAAGCAACAGTGTATAATCTGCAAAAAAAATCATTATTTGCTTGAAAAAAATAACTTAAAAATGTGACAGAGTTGTTAAGCCACATATGTCCAAAGTAATATTTTATAGAAGTCACGAGATTGGCTTTTTGTCCTCTTTTTTCCATTGTTATTGTTAATCCAAAGAGTCTGAGCAGCTCGTTCACCATCCATCTTCTGCCTGAGTCGCCTCTACAAACACCTCCAGTCATCTGTGGCATAACAAGCTGCCACCTGTGTTGACACATGGCTCCTAAACGCATGGCTGTTTTGACAATGACTCAGTTGCCATAGATATCGAGTTCACCAGATGTCTATTTTTTATAACAACATAATTATTATTATTATCATAGATTCTTATAGAAACTTGTCCATTTCCATCAGTGTAGTTGTTCATCATTTAAATATTTGCTTGGCATTTTGCCTTATGCGCCTTGATTAAAGCCTAGTGGGCTACTTGGATATGGATACAGCATTTTAATTTGTTTGTTATACAGAAAGAATGACTTGAAAAATGTAACAGATAATAGAATTAAAGCCCAGAGATTAAACATTCAGATGTGAAAAGCAGTTAGTTGCTTATGTTAATTCCCTGAATCTGCAGCATCACACCAGGTATATTTAGACCGACTCTGTAAGTTGGTCATAAACACCCTTTAAACCATTCCTTCCAGCCAGCAGGAGACACTTTGGATTCTTCTGGTGGGGTGTAATGTTTCTCACCAAGGTTAATCTAATAAAAGTCAAAGGTATTCCCAGGAAACATAAGTCTGTGGCAGATTGCCTGTATGGACATGCTCACATGCGCGCTTCGGAAATTCAAATCAGCACTTGTTGATGCACTAACTCACAGAGATGAACTGAGAGATGGGGATCATCTCTTTCCCGTCGGTGATGGTGTAAAAAAGCAGGTCCTCTATGCTGGACATGAGCCGGCTTCTGTCAAAAAACCCAAAGCACAACAAACACAGTAAGTTGTGATCTTGAAGCTGGATGGATTCCAATGTATTAAGTCAAAACTGTGAGCAGAAGCTCAAAGTTTATGTCAACATCTACACTGGCAGTGAAGGTAATGGCACCTGGCCAGATATTGACTTCACTCCAGGGCTGTGAAAGTGTGTTTATTAATAAAACATAAATGCAATATAGGAAGGAATATAAATGCTATGTCAATGAACTACCATTAAATCACCGATTAATCACAAAATATATGAATGAAGTGAAACATCAGACTTATGTAGCACCTTTCAAGCCTCTAAGGGTTGTCAAAGACATTGAAATATTCCAAATAAGAAGTTTAATGTGTAAACTGCTGTTTTTACCATTTAATATTTGAGCATAAATTTATTTGTTACATTACATCCACTCATTACCCACTGAGCTGAGTATGCCGTCTTTTGTTTATGAAATAAAAAACTATTTGAGACTTTTCTAGGGAGACTTAGATTTAAAATTATTATGAACAATAACCATTACCGAACAACAATGAAAGATAACTTATTGTTTTAAATCAGAAAAAGCCATAAGTGGTTAATCAATCATTGTTATGACTTGTTATTAAAGCATTGGGAAAATAAGTTATGCGTTGTTTTACTTCCCTTGAAATTTGTTAGCAGCTTTTAATTAAGAACACTTGCACATTAAGACTTTATTTTCCTTATTACTTGGCCCAACAATTAATAGCCAAATTAATTATCTTTTAATATTATTCACAGTTTCAGTGACTCCCTTTTTAATAGTGAAAGTTTATCGCCATAATTTACTGTTTTTAACAGTTTGATTAACTTCTTTCCACAATGTGCTACTTGTTTTTTGTGGTTCAGAAGTCAGTCTCTGTTCTCTGACTGAACATCCTAACGTGTGCATATCTAGTTGCTCGTCACGATGGCGTACACCGCTCGATGTACGCCTTGGTGACGTGTACCTTGCACCAATCATCTTTCCTGCCCTTAAATCATTTTTTTTCACCAAGACATTCTATCGTTTAGTAAAGATGGTGTTCATTTAATATTCACAAAGTTCTATTTGACAACCTCTTACTGAAATATGCAAGACATTATTTGAAAAAGTCATAACACTGATAGCAACATTGGCAGTTTTAATATCTGTTTATATCATGTGACTTGCACGGTGAATTAAATTATTCACAACATGTTCACGGCAGCAGACCCTTATCCAAATGGATTCTGGCATTTGAGCCCAGTGCTGATAAGCAGAATGAGCCCTCTTCTATTTAGGCTGGAGGACTTTGAGGTAATGATTAAAATGGATTTTCAAATTTTCACGTGTCAGGCCAGAGGATAATTTTCCTCTTTGCCTTGAATATCTTAAGTGGACTTGGGTTAAGTTGAAGTGGTTGTTTTTCAAGAAGTTCTCCTTGTTCTCATTTCCGTTCCCTTTAGAGTTTTTGAGTATATTGCGTCTTTTTTCCCTGGATGTTCAGTCTCTTTAACTGAAATTATTATTTTCAATTTTAATCAATTATTTTTTTCTTAAACTATAAAAATAATTATCTGGTTCAATGTTTCACGGAGAGGGAAATCTGCTCTGGTCCATCACTTGGAAAGCTTTAATCATCCAAGGATCATTTTTTTGTTGCTTAAATTCCTGTTATTGACTTGCTCCTCGCGCCACTAAATCTAGGAAAAAAAGAGAACATTACTCCAGTCTTAATGTCCTTACTGGGTCATTGTAGCTCAGAGAATACAATTCAAGAAACTGTCTGGAAATTAATCATAGACTGGCTTAGTACCAAAATACATTTTTAGTAACTTTAAGTCTACTTTGGATCCCCCATGTCAGAACCAAACATGGGGAAGCAGCATTTAGCTTTTGTGCCCCACTAAAATGGAATATCTTCCATAAAACTGTAAAACACCGAGTTCCTTAAATTCAGTGCCAAAACCCCATTTCTTTAGACTTACTTTTTATTAATAATAACTGGAGCACTGATTTTCATCAGCTTTTCATTACTTCTCCTTATTTCACCACTGTAACCTGTCGTCAAGGTGACGACTAGTAAACATGGCGGACGAAGTCTTCCCTTAAATATAACTATATGCCGCAAGCCAAAATGAACAAAAACCCGGTTGATAAAACATTTTTTATCTACTTGTGTTTTTTATATAAATTTGTGTATCAATTGTCCCTACAACTGATACACAAATTGTGACCTACTGTGTCAGAACAGCCTACTTTTTATACGTTTTAAATAAGTTAGCGCAGGTGCTCATCTTTCACCTCAAACGTGAGCTACACCTTTACAGCTGCAGTGTGTAATATATATATATATATATATATATATATATATATATATATATATATATATATATATGTTTGTCTCTTGTATAATATTAAATAGATAATCTGTGAAAGAAATGCAACTCAGAGCCAGAAGGTCTTAGAGCTGTTCAATGTGCTAATGGCGGAGGAACAATTTTCCGTTGGAGAGTTGCCTGGCAACCTCTAATCGACGACCGTTAGGTTCTGTCGTGCAAAACAGTTGCGTATTGGTATTTGGCACTTTATTAAATATAATAACTGGCATAAAGTACCAATACTGTTTAAATAAATAAGAGATAAAGTTGCTGCTATCACTACTGCTACAATAATATTAATAATTGAGAGATCCAGTTGAGCTCCAACAGCCTAATTTAAAATGGTACTTTCCGGAAGCAGAACATCAAATTTTGAAACTGATAAATGTAAAGTTTATTGAACGACTGCTGTTGAATACAATAGCTTCAAACTTTTGTGACCTACTTGCTGCGTCCTTGGTCCTCATCAGGGCCTTTTTGATGAGGATGAAAGGCTCTGTGGGAGTGAATTGTTGCTGCCCTGAGAGGAACAGGTTGCTGACTCCTGGAGATGTCAGCTCCAAGTCTGGCGGAGATAACTGCATTTTTAAACAGCTGCAAGATTCCCGCGTTGGTCGTCCGCAGACTTTTCAGGCAATGCATTGTGATAGGTAGGGCTTCAGTTCCTCAACCCGCCTGCTGGTCTTGGTGGATAAATGTGAACGTTGGCCTTTTGGTCCTCGGAGCTTTAATAGCAGCTGCTGTCTCCCCGCGTGGCTCATGTACTGTACAGGCTGTTACTAGGGGCGGGGCCGTGACTCGGGCAGGACTGAGCGGTTCATTAAACTGCACCGAAGTGAAGTTTGATAGGCTTCCAGGTACCGCTGCCACCTGCTTAGCTCAAGTTCCTGATTAGAAAACGGAAAAACAGGCCAACCACATCCTTTATTGTCCTGTCTTAAGTGTCAGTCTTAAAGCTGCAGAAGCGAACTTTAACAAAAAGATATGTTCTTTACATATTTGTTATGTCGTATAATATAAGGCAGATACTATTCCAGGGCTGTCAAACTCAGTTTGTATCAAAAATGTTTTTAAAGGTTGTGCTAGAATGTAGTGATAAAATCAATTAAACTTCTAAAATATCAAAAAATAGTTGTTCCCCCAAGGTTTTGTGATTATTTTTTGTGTTTTTTTTTTTTGTNTTTTGTTTTTGCTATCAAAATGACAGATTTTGTGGTGATAATTGGGAAATATTTGTAAGGAATTTTTAAGGTATTTGCGCGAATCTTTGATGTTAAATTATTACTTCAGTTACGGACTATATCTTGACATCAAGTAAGGTTGAGGCAGCAGTCACTTAAACTCAATGTCTTTGACCAATTTTGAAAATAATTGCAGTAAAATCAGAAAAAAAATTGAAGTTTTGTTGATTTTATGTGAATCTTGCAAGATTTGTGGAAAACTGGAAGGACTTATTGATGTAATTTGGAGTCTAGAGGGCCACATATAAAGCTACGGTGGGTCAGATTTGGTGGGCCTAACCAATGACAGCAGCTAAATGGTTTTTGTGTAACAGTAAGTAATTTTCACTATTATCACATTGAGCAGCATACAGGAGGTTGATTGACAGAGCTAAAAGACCTTTCTCCTGACACCGATTTGTTGTTTTTGACCATTTTTGTAGACCCCAATAGTAGCACTGTGAGAGGTGGTGTGAGGAGGTAGAGGAGCTTGATTTTTTACAATTATTTGTCTCATAAATATGGAAAAAAAAAGTCATGTACTGCTGTTTTAACATATATACATATATATATATATATATATATATATATATATATATATATATATATATATATATATATATATATATATATAAAGTTGTGCAAGCAATAGGAAAAACCTCCACCTTAAGAACTGGAATATTGAACAACACCCATTCAAGAATTAAGAGGACATTCACAAGACGTTGAGTTAGTGCTTTGAGAGCCATGAATTGCAAATGTATACAGAAAATGAGTTACAGTTGTTGCATGAGCATCAACATCAGATGTGTCTTAGCTTTACTGATGGAAGACAAAGGATTGGGCTATTTTTAGATTAATGCCAAATTAAAATTTCATGTCGATACTGCGGAGCCTAGAGGAAGCGTGGGGAAACACAGAATCCAGGGTGTGTGGGTCCAGTTAACACGGTGATGGGGCTTAGAGAGCCATGTCATCAGCTGATGCTGTTTCACTGTGGTTTGTCAACTCCACACTGAGGACTGGGCACAGGCCCACACTGTCAAAGCCACCACTACCTGCTTTAATTACCACAACCAACAAACCCACAGCACTCAAACCCTGTTGAGAATAGAAGAGGCATAATGAAGAGGAACTTGAAAAATACCAAACACAATAATGAAAATATTCAAACAAGTTGGGCTTTCTTAGCATCTTAGCAGTGTCAAAGATTATGATCCATAACCATCTAAATTAACAGAAATAAACTTTATTAACTAAGATAAACTATATGTAAGAGCTTTGCTTTTATAATTAAATTATTTGCTTCTCAATGATATTCTACTTTACTTAGATGCACATGTATATTAATCATTGGCATACTCAGTCGTTCACACATATCTTTCATAAAAATGTTTGCTAGTTTTCTGAAACTACTCAATTATTCACAACTTTTTCACAACCGTCTTGTGGATTACATAATAAATGCCTGCAATCTTAGCCTGCTTATTGTAATAATAATATCCATGAATATCATAGTTAGAACTAAAACATATCTTTATTTTTGTTTTACACAGAAATAACATTAAGAAGAATGAACACTTTAATATTTAATGTGATTTATTTGGATGTATTTGATCAGTTGTCTTTGAATATAATGATAAAACATAAAATAACGCCAGAAAAGTTTAATCAAGCTTGTGTTTAAGTGAGCAGTCAAGCGCAACCTGTGAAATATTCCTACTGCTTTAAAATGGCGCCACCCCATGGCGGGTTTCTCTCAATGATTTACTGATATCTTTCTGTTTTGTCCTCTAGGTGGCGCACTCTCTCTAGTGTGTGGTCAGTCTCTCTTTCCTAACTTTTCTAGCTTTTCTAAGGACACAAGGATGTATTTCAGAGTCTTCCTCTCTGCTACTTACACAGTGGCTTAAAAAATGCATGTTTTTTTTCCCCTATGGAGTCTATAAAAAATACATCTTCAATAATAAAAGAAGCTATGCTAGTACTTCAGGAATATAAATGAAAGAACAAGAAACTAAGATTTGAAATGTTATATTGTTGTGTCACTTTCACGCCGAGATATTTGTTTTGTTTTTATTTTCTGTTTTGTCCTTGTGTTCACCGTAATGATGTATTTTTACAATTTGCCGTATTTTCTAAAATGTTCTTGCTGTTTAATCTTCTGAAAATACTGTTTTCTTTTGTTCATTTTGTTTTTGTGTTGCATCTTTGTTCTTTCAGACGTTATTTCTCTCCTTTTTGTTTTCTTTCCAGCAACTTTAGGTTCTTACAAAAGTGACCCACAATAACTTCCAATCTACTCAGTTTCAGAGCATAAACATGCATGCTTTCAAGTCTCGTAGACTTTCCAGTGTTGCATTCCAGACGGACTTTTTAAGGTGACATGATAAATAAACAAGGGTTCTGATTGCCTTGTCTGCTTTGCCACGCATGTGACTTCTCCTATGGGGTGAATGCTAACCCATGGCCTCTCTGCGCTACCGCTGCCGGTTGTAGCTTCTCTGTTTTCAGGAGAAAATGTTTTCCATTCCTTCGCCAATGAATGCCACCTTTGTCCCTTCAGCCTCCATCTTGTGTGAGAAAGCCCCCCCTTGCTGCACTCACCAAGCCTGCACAAACTTAACCTCTTCCCCTGCCACCTAACACAGGAAAGGAAGCATGCTGGTGCTTTCATTCAGACTCCGTAATCTGGAGGTCTGGATAAAACCTTGGCTAAGAAGGCCTGTCCTCAGGTTGTTTAGGACACAATTAGGTCAATCATTCCTGAAATGAATAAAAGAAACCCTTTGGATCATAAACAATGCATAAGTTTCATTACTGTAGTGAGTCAGGCAGGTAGACAATGTGATGCAGTGAACATGGTAGGAAATATCTGTTAGTACTGAGGCATTTAAAGCAATAGCAAACACTTTCATTGCTCTGCGCACAACACTAATTATATTTAAATTTCAAAACGACTTAAGCGTGCTCACTTATTCATATCTCCCATCGCCAAGGGAGCATTCTGTATGGTATGTGGCACCTGGCTGCTTAAAACATCCTAATTTAATCCAATTCTAGCTTCATTTAAACCCCAAACCTTCAACAAACTTGTGTGTCAAAGTCTTACATAATAATAAGAATCCATATAGTGTTTCTTAACAGAGTGACAGAGTTTGACTAGAAACAGATTAAATTGGATAAAAGACTTATCACAAAGAGCAGAGATAGACAAATCAGAGTCAAGCTAAGTAAGAACTCTGCCAAATCTTTTGGAACAAAAGTGTAAACGATCAGTTTATTCTGCTTTTAAACAGCCTTGAACCAATCAGAAGTCGTCCCTCGAATGTTGCTCTGAACGCAAACATCCCACCTCTACTTGTATCTGTTTTTGTAGTAGTTTATGGTTCATGGGAAAAATGAGTCCTGATTTTAAAAGTGCTTACTGAATTCCTTCCTCCAGTTGCCTCAACGACCTCTGACCCTTAAATAAATAATGAACTCTGGACCAAAGCTGCACAGGTGTCACCTGTCAGTGTTACATGCCCTGCATGTTGCACTGCTTACTGAGTATGCTGAGTGCTAACACCAAGCAGTTTCATTTAAGTGCAACCACCTTTCTTATCAGCTGTGAAAAATAAATGTTTGTGTTTCTTATTCAGGTGAAGCAACAACAAAAAAGTCTCAAGTTCCTGCGCTCCTGCAGGTGAGTGCTCTTGTCACCTGAACACGGTGACTGTGTCCAAACCTGGACACCCTGTAGACCCCTGGAGCCTCTCTGAACCCGTATAGTACAGACATCACACACACACACACACCACACACACACACACACACACACACACACACACACACACACACACACACACACACACACCTCCTTCCAATTCTAGCCGTCCCTTCATTTCCCCCTTCCTCCCCGCCTCCTCTTTTTCATCCTCCTAGCTTCCACACCCTTCCTCGCCCACCAACCCCCATCCTCACCGCGCAGCTACCCCACTGCCCTGCCATCTCGCAGCATTCCGAGGGCCGTGCACACAGAGGCCTATTGTGTGCACAGCGAGACGGCAGAAGGCGGCATACAGTCAGAGCAACAGGGAAAGCCGATGTGCGGAGATGGAATGGACTCAGTATAACTGACACGGATCTGCAGAGAAGTTGTGCTGAAAGTTACTGGATGCTGTTAATGTGGCACAACTGAGCACTGGTGGAGAAAGTAGTGAAACACTGCACTGAAGTAAAAGTACAAATAAATAGACAACAAATATAGTAAATTTTTACTTGAGTAAAAGTTCTTAAATTTTGAAAGTAACAGTACTTGTCGAATGTATTTCCTAATATAATCGTCACTACGCGTGCCTACTATGCATGTTTTCTTTAATACATTAATATTTTTGTGCCATTTTAATCAACAATACTGCAGATTATGTATGTTTTTATTATGGTTACTGTTAAACCGTGCATAAATCCAGAGACAGCATGCAGAGTTAAATGCTGTTAAGCAAAATAAGAAACAGTAGTGATTATACATTTGAATGTTTTTATTTAACACAAAGCAAAACTAATGTGCCATTTGTATTTTAAC